AAAAATTACATAATTAGAGAGAAAATGGTGTTTTTTCTTATTTTTGAGTAAAATTCTTAATTGTTTTTGATCAAAACACCCAAAAATCAATTAAGAAAAAATTGTATTATTTCGATCTATTTTCAAGCGAATAAAAACCTTTTTGAGCCAAAACTAATTTTTTCCATAAAATTTTGCTAAAATATCCAAATTAGAGGTCAAAAACGAAATTATTTTTGCATTTTCCAAATAAAATTTCACCCAAATGGACCAAAAAATTAGCAAATCAAGTTAAAAATGGTATATTTTTTTAAACTGGTACTCTATTTTAGCTGAAGTTTTTTGCTACTTTCAGCAACAACATTCTAAATTAAATAGTTTTTCACAATAAGAGGTTTTTTCGATACAATTCTTTTCAGGTGTAGCTTTTTTACAAAACATTTTTGATACATGTTTATAGGAAAGTTTTGTCATAAAATTAAATATTCTTTTACCTGTTCAAATTTGTAACAATAAAAACGAAACACCTTGTATAATAAAATGCATTCAAAAGCAAGTCCAGAAGATGTTTAATTAATTCAAAAAAAAAGTAAAAATGAGGGAATATTTGTCACATGCCCCCGCCATACGAATTATTTACATCCATATAATTAAAAACCTACTTGAAGGCAAACAGTTTTGCTTTGTAATTTTTTTACATGTAACACAGTTAAAAATTTAAATTTAAAACACAAATCTTTCTTTGCAGCTTCTTGCGCAAGTATCTCACTGCGTACGAGGGCCTCTTCCAGCGCCACCCTTCTATCGGAAGTAATTTCATTAACGAGATTGAGACCCCACATGAAGCCGCGAAATAAACACAGTCGTTTGAGGGAGTCAATGGATTGTGAACAGGAAGAGGAGGTGACGTTAGCGTAAGTCCGAGTTTAAAATTCTTTCCGCTCAAGTGCAGTTTCAGACGATAAATGTCGAGAGACTCACATTTCTATTTCAATTGCTAGAGTTTTGGAGGTTCGTCTTTAATAAGATCTAACACGTTAACCACGTAATTGCAGTAAAGAAGAAGAATCGTTGAGTATGAGCAGTACTACGACTCTTACACAACAAGAAACTTTAACAACGACATTACCGCAAATGGAGGAAGTAACGAGCAGTTTGCAAACTTACGACGAGAAAACCTTGCAACGGTCGTCCACTCTCAACAGCGAAAAGGACAATTTAAGCGAAAAAGACGATTTAAAAAGCACTTCGTCTAAAACCTCTAGAAGATTAAGTAACGTCAGTACTGCCTCTATGACGCATGTGAGAACATCGTCTGAAATTGGTTCGAAAAGTGATCCGGTGAAGTACCCAATTACACATTCAGCACCACTGCACTAATATACAAATTAAACGTTTTTGAAGTATTTTGACTTTTTTGAAATTTTTTGAATTTGCATTTGCCTCTCCAAAAATCGAAAAATAGTGGTCAGAAATTAGAAAAATAAGTAACAAACCTCCAAAATTTAACTGAATTTTTTTAAATGAAATACACTTTTTTTTGTCGCGTTTTTTTTTCAAAAAAAATGGTCAAATTTGGTCGAAAATCACACTATTTTTGCTTTTTTGAACGTTTTAAAGATAAAAACTCAAACTTTAAATAAGACTTTAAGACAAGATAGAAAATGACAAAATTAAATCGAAAATGATCTTATTTTTCACTTTCTCAAGCGTTTAAGAAAGTTCTTCACTCAGAAATCCATTTTTTCTGCAAAATTTTGTCCAAACCACTCGAAAAATTAATAAAAATTGTGCTATTTTTGCCTTTTTTGAGCTAATAAACTGAGTTTTTTCGCCAAAACAGACCAAAACTTACCAAATTAAGGCAAAAATGATCAATTTTTTGCCGTTTCAATTATATTTGAACCTTTTTAGTAAAAAATTTTGCTCAAAAAATCCCAAAAATTACCAAATTAAATTGAAAATTGTGCCACTTTTGATACCTTTGAGAGCAAAAGCAAGTTTTTGAGCTTATGTTTTTCGCAAAATTGTGTTAAAATAAGCCACAAAATCACCACTGCACTAATATACAAATTAAACATTTCTGAAATATTTTGACTTTTTTTAAACATTTTGAATTTGCATTTGCCTCTCCAAAAATCGAAAAATAATGGTGAGAAATTAGAAAAATAAGTAACAAACCTCCAAAATTTAACTTTTTTAAATGAAAGGTCCTATTTTTTTTTTCACTAAAAGAAAAAGAATATAATTCTGCTTCGATCTGTATCAACATTCCCTATACTTAAATTTAATGATTTCCAAGTTATTTTGACTTTTTTTCACAATGGAAGAAATTCATTACTATCCATGGTGGTTTTCGCATAGTTTGGCATGAAAATATTTCTCACTGAAAAAACGCCAAGTTTTTTTTCACAATTATGTGTGTTATTCTTTCCGTAAATACAAATAAAATTTATTTAATCTAAATTTGAATAACTTTGATATCCTATTTTTTTCTTATTTTTATGACAACCTATGCTAAAGTAGCAATGACTAATGAATTTCTCACAATATTATAAGAAGGTGTAGGGAAGGCTAATAAAAACTCTCTTAAAATCACTTAAGTAATGCAAAAACGCAATAAAAACACAGCTTTCTTTTTAAAATATCGAAGTTGATATCCACTTCCGGTGTAACAGTGCCGCTATCTTGAAAATATTTTCATTGAGCAAAACACCTTGTATAATCAACGCATCAGAAAGCATTATTACAAAACGTGAAAATGTTTAATTAGTTCCAAAAAAAAAACAAAGAAATGTTTGAGACATGGCCCCACCATACGATTATTTTCGTCTCACTTAACGAAAAATTTTTCCTTTGTTATTTTTTTACATTTGTTTTGTTGCATTTTTTACCGAAAAAAATAGTCAACTTCTGTTTTTGATTTTTTTAGCATGTTTTTAAGATAAAACACTAAAATTTTGAATAATATTTCATCGAGACAAGATAAAAAAATACGAAATTAAATCGAAAATAATGTTATTTTTCACATTCTCAAGCGTTTAAAAAAGTTCTTTAGCCAGAAATGCAATTTTTTGCAAAATTTTGTCCAAACCTGTCAAAAAATATAACAATTGTGCTATTTTTGCTTTTCTTTACTAAATTAGTAATTTTTGACGTTTTAATTATTTTTGAATCGTCTTGGTATAAAATTTTGCTCAAAAAGGGACAAAAATTACCAAATTAGATCAAAAATTATGCTATTTTTGACATTTTTGAAAGCAAAAGCAAGTTTTGAAGCCAAAATCTTTTTTTCGCAAAATTGTGTTACAATAAGCCACAACATCTCTAAACTAGATTCAAATTACCGTTCTATTTTGGTCTGGATTTAGTTTGGGGACCTAAAAAACTACTTTTTTTCAAAATTTTTATTTACAAACAAAAAACAACCAAGTTAGTGCACTTTTTAAAGCGTTTAACAAGTTTTTGAGTTAGAAGCTGTTTTTTTTTTAATTTGGAAAATGCCAAAAATGCTCAAAACTTAATTAGGCACGAAATCTATTATTTCCACCTAATTTTAAGCGAATATAAACGTTTCCGAGAAATTTTTTACATTATTACAAAACCTGAAGATGTTTAATTAGTTCAAAAAAAAATAAAAATACGGAAATGTTTGAGACATGCCCCCGCCATACGGATTATTTACATCTCACTTAGCGAAAATTTTTTCCCTTGTTATTTTTTTTACATTTGTTTTGTTGCGTTTTTTACCGAAAAAAAATGATCAACTTTGGTCAAAAATCTTCTA